GGAGTTAAACCCATTGGCCAGCCAGTAACAACTGGTGTCCCCCAGGGCTCAGTTTTGGGCCCAGTTCTGTTAAGTATCTTTATCAATGATCTGGATGAGGGGATCAAGTGTACCCTCAGTAAGTTTGCAGATGACACCAAATTGGGTGGGAATGTTGATCTGCTCGAGGGGAGGAGGCCTCTGCAGGGGGGCCTGGACACGCTGGATCCATGGGCCCAGGCCAACTGTGGTGAGGTTCAACAAGCTCAAGCGCCAGGTCCTGCACTTTGGTCGCAACAACCCCACGCAGCGCTACAGGCTTGGGGAAGAGCAGCTGGAAAGTTGCCTGGCAGAAAAGGACCTGGGGGTGCTGGTTGACAGGAGCTGAATGTGGATGTTGCCTTGCTGGAACATGTCCAGAGGAGAGCCACAAAGCTGGGGAGGGGTCTGGAGCACAAGACTTATGAGGAACGGCTGAGGGAACTGGGGTTGTTTAGTCTGGAGAAGACGAGGCCGAGGGGAGACCTTATGGCTCTCTATAACTACCTGAAAGAAGGTTGTAGCGAGGTAGGGGTCGGTCTCTTCTCCCAGGTAATGGGTGATAGGATGAGAGGAAATGGCTTCAAGTTGTGCCAGGGAAGGTTTAGGTTAGATATTAGGAAAAATTTTTTTCACTGAAAGGGTTTTTAAGCATTGGAATGGTCTGCCCAGGGAAGTGGTTGAGTCCCCGTCCCTGGAGGTATTTAAAAGATGGGTAGATGAGGTGCTTAGGGACATGGTTTACTGGTGGGATGGCAGGGTTAGGTTAAAGGTTGGACTTGATGATCTTAAAGGTCTTTTCCAACCAAATGATTCTATGATTCTATGTGTTGAGATACAAAGGCTCCCCACTACCCCAGTGGAATCACAGTCCTGCTCCAGGTCACTGTGCTGCCAGTCCCATCGGTACATATGTTTTAGGAGAACAGGGTGTCTTAGTCCTGGCAAAACTCTCTAGCTCCTTTATTCTGAATCAAGCATGGCACATCATCCACATCATGTGTGAATCAGCCAGGAACCCAGAAGTTAAACTGGAAGAGGTCTGGATGAAGACCTCAACTGCTTGTGGAAACAACTGCATCCCACTTACCCAAACACCTGCTCAAAGCCTGCCTCAGCACTGAGAGGCAGACACACACATTTGTCCTATAAGAAAGTCTTTACCTGTCACAGGGCAGGACATCTACTGACAGGCATGTCACGTTTTAATGGCCAAAACATCACAGCAGTGATTGCTCACACAGAACACCAAATATGTTGCAATGCTGGTCTGATTTCTTCCACAGGCCACTCTCTCAGTGGTGGTACAAGGTGTGGCAGCTTGGTACCCTTTCATCTTCTCTGTACAACCTACTAAACCTACTAAGTGAGCTTTGTAGGTGGTGGCAAAGAGCTAGCTGTGCTTCTGTCTACTGCAGTACGCCAGGGCCCACCGTGTTGTCTGCTGCAGGGATCAGACCCACCACTTGGCAGAAGTGAAGAGCAATGAGGACATTATTACCTCCCACTGTCTGAGCAGAGCATAGAAGATTTGAAGAAACAAACAAACAAAAAAAAAAATCAGACAGCTGCGAGCCTATGAGTCACACAGACGTATGTTAGCTGCGACTTGAAAAGACTCCAGAACAAAAAAATTAGGTATATGAAAAAACTAAGTCCTCAACCTGTGTCAGTCCACAACCTCCACTGAAGTTGTTGAGCCACTGATCTGCAGCAGCTGAGACTGATGTGGTACATTATGGGAAGCTGTTAAACCAAGTAATTGTGGCACAGCTTTGCATTTTCAGTGAGGCTCCACCCCATCACTGCTGACGGGAAGAGTCAGGATCATACCCCAAGCAGGTTCTTTTCTAGTTACTGTCACTGAGGACTGGAGACTGTGCCCTTCACCTCTGGAGAGAGGTATCGGTCTGAAGGGAGACAGAAATGTCCTCCAAATTGCAAGGGAAATATCTTGGTGAAAACAGCATTAAATATTCAGGGTCCAGCCACTCTCAACTGCTCAGCTAGCGTCTTTTACTTACATTTAATTCACATGAACCAACCCCCACTTGCAAGCTAAGCAGATAATTTTATTCCTTCAGCATTTATTTGCAGGTTAGCTGCTGGGCAACACTGCAAGTGCCCTTTGTCAATTCAGATTCAGCACCTCTCTAAAACTATTTTCAAACTACAAAAGGACAAGAGGGATGCTAAGTTTAGGGTCTACAGAATTTGACTTGCCATCTGTTCAAGCCAGAAAGAGCATAAGAGCATCCAATAGGATCCTGAGGACAAGGGTCCTCCCAGCAGCTGTCTGAGCAGTGATCAGTGCCATTGGGTTCCTCTCAAATATTTTGCCTATAAATTCTGGATCTGCTAACCTTGGCTTAGATCTGGCTCTATTTTTAGAAGCTTGAATAAAAAGCAGTCATCCAGTGGAGTGCTTTTCACTTCCTATTTTAGACATTACATCCTTAGCCCAAATGTAATCACCAGTGTGCTGTTCAAGGTCAATTCATATTTCAGTCATCACATCACCCTATTCCACCTTTGCCCTGATGTCTCACCAGACTTGTCCCAAGAGCTGGTGTCTTTTAAGTTGAACACAAAAGGTCTGCACCCCCTACTCACCCATCTTTGGAGAGGTGATGCCGGAAGAAGTCATTGGCTGCCAGTTTGATAGCCTTTTCTGGTGTCACTAGGGTCAGGTTCACTGCAGCCCCTGGGCAAGGAAGAGAGGAAAAGGCCATTGGGGAATGAGAATAAAGGAACCATTAACTGGATCTTTCAGGAACATGTTATAAACTCCTGCTCAAAACGAAGGACTGATGAAGAGCTCCCAATACACCCAAAGGGCTTAGAAACATGGAAAACCACTGGAAATTAACAGGATTTCTGCCTCCCAGCACCTTGGGTTTTTGAAAACATCCCTTGATGCGTTTCTACTCCATTTGCAATATGTCACTACTACCTCCCACCATGCATACATGCATCCTCTCCTCTCATCCAAGGATGCATTCCTACGAATCCAGAAGGATGCAGACCAGACCTTCAAGAAAGGAGTACAAGTTGCATTAATAAACAGTCCCACCTCCTTTGCAAATATTTTATGATGCTGAGAAGCAAAAGCCCCCCGCCCCACCTTCTTGCTAGTGTCCCTGCCCCACCCACCACCAAAGCCAGAGCAGCTTGCTTACCAGGCAGCCCAGAAAAGGCAGAGCCACTGAAAGACCTGGAGGATGGTTGAAGTCAACTGGCTCATCCACACAGAAGCCAGCCAGCTCTAGATCAACCCTTGGAGTTAAGTGGCTTCCCTTGTATATCACCACTGGGTGTCACCCTCAGAACAGCCACTGTTGAAGTGGCTTTTTGTCCACCACAAGCTGCAGCTTGCAGAAATTCCCCTCGGAGCAACGTGGCAAGGCTTGCCAGGGGACCTGAGGTATAAACAAGCCTTGGTTTTCCCCCCCACCCACTGGAGTGCCCTTTTGTCAGGAGCAACAAACAGCAAACCCCTGTATTGTGCCTGTTACAGTGAAAGTTCTGTGTGGCCTGGCTGGCTGCTGTGGGCCATGGACACCAGCATTAGTGCAACACACTGGCTGGGAGGCAGCTGCCCTGGGGAAAATGGGGTGAGAGGAGGACCAGTCCCTTCTGTGCATGCTGGGGTTTGCACCACTAGATTAATGCTCCAGAATATTCTTCCCCCCCCCCCCCCTCGCCCCATTTAAATCTCATGGCTCAAAAAGTCCTCCAACAGATGACCATAAGTTCTCCCTGCCTGCACTGAAGCATACTGAGCTCCAAGCCCTCCAGAAGAGCTTCACTTGAGACTTGCTAATGGCCTATGAACACCTTTGCAAGGACAAACACAAATGCTAGGGTGTATCTTTTGCATTTATGCTTGCTGTAGACATTTAAACAACTTGTCCCAAAGCTCCATTTTCCAAAGAGAAGTAGACAGAGAAGCCTGCACTCCCACTAGGCTCCAAAGACCTGGTGGGGTTCATTTGCAGGAGGTTTGAACACAAGTTGACAGGAGCTATAAGTGCTCAACACACCTGAAGGAAGGCAATTCAATCCTCTGTTCCTCAGGATGGACTCCCCTGCCTCTAAAAATTATTAATGAGCTCCTAAATTAGACATGGAAAGACATACGTTTAGGGGGATTTTCCTCAGATTAGGAAACAAAATCACAGCTGCAACTGGGACCAAGACACGGGAATCCTTGGCTCCACATCCTCTGCTCAGGGGACGCATCTCCATTATGTGGGAAATTGCAGCAAGAAAACAGACAGCCTTTGCTGGGCAGGGCTGGGCAGCCCAACACACTTTCCCCCCTTTTGAGTGCCACATTCAGACTTTGCAGAAAATACAGAGTAACACTGCCTTGTAGCAAGCTAAGCCAATGCATTCATTCCACACTGGCCATGACATCCAACAAATGCCATCGTCATCTACAGGAGCCAAATTAACTACCCAGGGACCAGGGCAGCCCTCTCACACTCCTGGGTTTTTACAATCTTTTAAGTGTAGCAGTGATTGAGCTGCTTCAGTTTGATGTGCTTCCTACACATCATGTCCCCCTGCCATGGCTCTTGCATGTGATGAGAAACCACGCAGACATGACCATCATGCTCTACCTCCACCTTTTAACGTCAATCAAGATCTACAAAGCAAATCCACACAGCCTGATTTTTAAGTGGAAGGGGCTACCTGTGAAGTGTTTCCTCAAATGCCAAGTTGAAGACAACTTCAACCCCACTCCTAATGGCTAGAAAGTAAAACACCCGCACACAACTGAATTGCAGCATGAATAACCATTTCCTTGGAAAAACAAGGGGAGAAAGAAAAAAGAATAAACCCACCACCCTAACACCAGTGCAAAGGGTTCATTGAAAGAAGGAAAAAAAAAAATCTCCAAACCATCAAGCAAGAAAAGTAAGTGAGTATGCTTCCACGTGCTGACCTCCTCCAGGAATCAAGAGGCTTTCACAGCAATTTCTCCTTCAATTGCAAATAAAGTAGAAGGTAAAACCACAGAACATACAGAGAAAAGTTAATGAACTTGGGTTTTTTCCTACATCTTTGTTATTTTCAGTAAATCTGCTTAGCAGAGAATGGATAATCCCTGTCCTCAATAACCTGTAACAGCTTCAATTCAATGGAGGAGGAAAAATTAGATACTTCAGCTGCTGGCTTTATGCTTTCCGTCGTGTTTTCTACCTTTTTACCAAATCTTATAGCTCTTCAATTCAAGCTATACCAATGACTATTTCCTTAATTAAATCTAACCTTGGCCTATAGGCAATACTACATATACCAGAAGCAATAACAGACAAACAGAATGCAAAAATAAATGCAATCACTAAAAAATAAAAAGTATTTTGAAAAGAAGTATGGAAGCCCTACAAAGAATTAAATCAAGTAGCAGCAAAAACAGTGTTTGCCAACTGAACTTGTAAGTGCCCTCTTCTCACCAAGCCTTGGGTTTTGTTATTAAAACACATTTCTCATAGAAGCCCTTATATACCACCAGCACCCTACATAACAGGGGGATTGAGTCACCCCGAGTGTGGCACTGGCACATGTGGGAGGTATTACTAGCAGAGGCCAGGGAAGGCTGCTACACCGCTGTAGCTAAACTGCAGCTAACCTCCAAATGTCATCAACAGCAAAGGGCATTTCCCCAGCCTGGCCTAGGCATTTGGCTTCCACCAGCTGGTTTGCAAACAGCAGCAGGACATTCAGGACATGTGCTGGGATCTATAGGCGGCTTCTGGATGGACTGTAGCAGGGAGCAGAGAGAACATCTCTCTCTAAGATCCCCTTCCACTGGTGTCCACGTGGTCCAGGAGCCCATAGGCACCATGGATTCATTCACTTGGCATCATGTCTGAAGCAGCACAGCATCATCCCTTGAGCACAGACAGAGCTAGACAGCACCACCCAGCTTTGAGGCACTGCTGCTACTTAGATGTTATGGAAAAAACATGAGGAAAAACTCTCCTCTTCTTCCTCCCCCAAACAAACACAAGAATCCCTGTAACTTTTGGGCAAGAACTTGACAGAAACGTTGGGATTGCCTTATACATCACACAATTCACTATGGGCTACTCATACAGAGTAAGGACTGCCTGCCCACAAGCAACCCTTAAGAGATGATTTGCAGAAAAGCATCCTGCAGGCTCAAGCCTCTCTCCTGTCCACACTGAGGAGCTTCAATCCACAGATGAAGGAGACATGAAGTCCCACAGTGGGAATTGTTGCACCCAAGCAGACCCTTTCGGTCTTCCGACGGAGGCCAAATGCCCTGCAGGGATGACTGATGCGCTTGTGACTCCTCCACAGGGCACAGCAGCTGCCACTTATAGCACATTAACATATAATCCTCCCCATTTCAGCTTAAAGGCTGAAAATAAGAGCTTGTGATTCATACAGCAACTTCTGCTGGGGAACTGGGACAGATGGAGGGAGCAGGAACAAATCCCACCATCTGATTTTCATCTTCCCCGGTCTGCAAGGCTAAGCAGTCTCTTTACCTTCTTCCCAGAAAAGTACTCACATTCTTCACGAACCTTGGAATTATTTTACCTGCCCACCCTCTCCCTGAGAGGGAGGGAAGGGCTGCTAATGTCAGCTCACAGAACTGAGGCACAGAGACCAGGACTGCTGTACTTGAAGGACTCACCTTTGCACCCTGGCCATGCTGAAATATCTACGAATTTCTGGAAGGAGCTGGAGCTATTCCAAAAGCCCCCTTCCAAACCCAGCTCCCCATTTAATAGTCAGAGGTGACAAGTAAATTCAAGCCACTATCAGCTCCCTGAGCAGAAGGGGCATAAAGTTAGTGGGACATGGACCAAGCTGACCAGACTCATTACGGCTGGGAAAAGCAAGAGCTATGCAAAACCCTCTGCACCCTTTAAGATTTCAGCTTGGGAGTGAAAATGGCCTGGAGATGCACATCCCCTCCACCACCCTAAGCCTTACAGGACTGAGCTGTTTCTCCTAAAAGCCCTGATGGGTCCTACAGTCTCCCCTGTATATTTCCAGGAACAGCTTCTTCCTTCTGCTGCCCAGCATGCAGCCTGCTACTGCATATTTACAGCCAAAGTTAATGCAGGCTCCACTTTGGCTAGGAACACAGAAGCAGCCAGCTTCTGGGAAAAATCAAGGGGGGAACACATCACTGTGAGCATTGAAGATGGAGCTTGCCAGGGTTCCTCAGTGTTATTTGTCTTGTTGCCCGGTCCCAGGAAAGCTGGCGTGAAGCAGCCAATCCATCCCCGGCATCCACCCCACTCCCCCGAAACGCCCACCAGCAAGTTGGGCAAGAGACACTGCCTCAACAGCCAGTGCCTGCTCCCAGGACAGCCGGGGCCGGTCGCAGCGTCTGTGTTTCCTTAGGAGCTATGGAAGAAGTGGCAAGAGACATTACTGCTGCCAACAGCAAGGCACCAGCATCTCCGGACTTCCGCTTGAAAAAACAAAGAGCAAGGACTCACTTAATCAAAGCAGTACTTTAATCAGGCTTTATCAGTGAATGAGTGCCACAAAGAATGCTATCTGAATGCCTCCGAGATAAAAACTGCATATTCATGTAATTGAATACCACTATAGAAAATAAGCCAGAGTTCAGTGTCAGCTAAGCCAGTTGGACTGTGCTGAATGCCAAGAAGGTATTCCACATTTTCCTCTGCTACGAGTAAAGTCAGAATTTGGCCTGCTGTTCCTCTCTCCTCAAAATATTTAAGAATTTCATGGATTTCGTGCTTCAACTAGAAAAGGCATAATGTCAACTGAGGAACTCACTGCTGCAACAGACAGCCTAATCCAAGGAGCCAGGAGATTTCTAGCAGGTTAGCACACAATGACCAGAGAGCTGAAGCTCTACCATGAGCCAACCTCTGATTTTCTTACCACCCAAGGGAGGTTTTTTTTCTGGGGGCAGGTTATTTTTCATTTTTTTTTTTTTTTTTAATTGCAGCTTGTTTTAATACTTGACAAAGCACTCAGGCGTGCTTGAGAGACAGCTAGTTTTGGAGACAAGCTACCAAGTAGATGCGACAGCAGGCCTGACCATGTTGGTGGTGGGCTTTGACAGAAATTCAATCATCAACAGCAAAGTAAGACACTTCAAGAGGTTTGCTACGGCCCCTTTGACAAAAATTACCATGCCCAAGCTGGGAAACACACACATACAGTCCTGAAACAAAGTCCAGCAGCTTCACTTAAACTGCTAGTGAAGATGAACATCAGTAAACCATAAGGCTTAACATCAAAACAGCCACAGGGAGGACACAAGCCCTCAACAGTGGAGAGCTGAGCAGACACCTGGCGTGGAGTTTATTTTCAGAAACAGTTGCACCTTTCAGCATCTTAGGATATTGCTAGGTTATTGCTTTATAAACTGGAGAACATGGGCTTTTCCTCCCACTAATGCACCAGTGTTTCAAACGCAAAAGCTGCGCTGTGCCTGACTCAGCTTTGCTTACCTCTATACATGCCAAAGTAGCCTTCTGACCGAATGGTTTTAATGAGGCAGTCAGACCTGCAAACAAAACAGACAGAGATAAATCACAAGAGCTCAAAGGTGAGTGAGAGCACAGAAAAACAAAACAAATCTCTTGGAGTGATTTTCATTTACGATCCGTCAGCAAAACCCTGAGCCAAGGGAACCACGTCAGCCGCCGAACGCGCCATTGTTCAGGCCCGAGTCTGATTTCAGCCCCTAATTCACAGGGGCTTTGAAAACCCCAGCTCGCCCCGCATTTGCTGTCTGCTTTCTAGAAACACAAAAGGGAAAAATGTCACTGCAAGGGCTGTTTATCCAGGGTCCCCCGTAGCAAACGTGCATGAGATGCTCTAACAAGCAGATCCCCATGCACGTGTTTTTAAATCCAGCTTTGGAAGGGAAATAAGGGGGGGCCAAAACCCCCAATGCTGACTTGCTTGACTTACCCCATGAAATTCGACACAAGGCACACAAACGCTAGATGACCTGAACAGTCAGTCATCCGTGACCGCCCACACAGATTAAAGCACTTACTTTTAACACATCGGGTCCCACAGCAGGCAACTCAGGCTCTTGCCCCAGGGAGAGCACAACAGGGTGTCGCAGCTCCAAGGGGAAAACTGTCACCTTCTTAGTTACAACTACATTTACCGTAAATGAGAAAACTGTGCAGAGCACTGGAATGGCTCAAAGCCTTTTGAAGGCACAGACACACACCTAACAAATCCAGAGGCACAGTTCAGGAAGGCAGTGCAGATCCCCTGGCAGAGTTTCCTTCTCTAGACCGCAGCTGCATGAAGCGCAGGAGCTGGCTGAAGGTTGCTTTGGGGTCTTTGGGAAAGGATGGGTACTTGCTGTGGCCATAGGGGAAGGAGGAGGTGCACACGCATGCATGTGTACATAATTAAGGAACAAAAGGCTCTTTTAAGTAGTAACAAGAGAAGTGCAGCTGATGAAAACAAGAATGCGTTTTTAAGAGATTTGGCAACATAAGGAGTAAACTTCATCTCCACTCCGTAGCAGTGCTGAGGTGGGAGAGAAGGAAACACTGAGTTCCCTCAAGGGCTTTATGGCCCTGTGTGGGTCAAGACTGTTCTAGGGTACCCCGCATTATTTGTGAAGAGCCCATCCTGTATTGGTGCCAGTCATGGCAATGAGTTTCCCCTCTCTGTTGGGACTTGGGGACCTCATCTTTCACATACCCCACCCCAGCTCGGGTAGCTTGCACGCACCCATCTCATTCTTGGAAGCAGCTCCCAAGCCCGCGGTGCTGCTTTGAACAAGCCGCAGCAGAGAGGGGAGTGGGAAGAACTGCTCCCCACCATGCTCATGCAGCCCTGATGCCTCACTGTAAGGCTTCCATGTCACTCCCAGCCCCTTGAGCTGCAACAGAACAAGACAGAGCCAAGGTCATGCCCAGCTCCTCTCTCTCCCTGGAAAAAGGGAGCCAACAGCCAACTAAAATTATACATAACATACCTGGGGCAGTGCAACCAGCTCTCTTCAGCCCTCAGGGCTGCTCTAAAGAGACTTTGGCTCTTTCACAGGAAAGGTTCCCCTGATGCCAAAGGTCTCTTGAGCTGAGCAGAAGCAAGGCATGCTGTCTTAAAGCAAGACAGCCAAAATTGTAAATGAACTTGCTGCCTTCCTGGGTGTTCAGCAGACACCTTTGAGATCTGGTATTGATGGGCATACAGTATTTCCTGAAAAATAAGCCCCTGTAGCTGCAGAGTTCAGACAAGCCCTCCCAAATCCCTAGCTAATGTAAGGGTGTCTCTGAAGATATGCTCCATGCATGGTAACAGCATCGTCTTAGTGCCTTTCCCTTGCTTGCTCAGGTAGGACACAGGATGGCCCCATGTTATCTAGAGAACATGTTTATCCCCATTATTTCCTTCTCCCTGCTGGCTCCTCAGCCCCCAAAAGACCC